GATCCGGTTGTTTTGTTGCTTTCCCTTGCCCTTGCAAAAAACAATATAAAATGAAAATTCTTGTTTTTACTTGATCAAATTGCAAGAATCCCTTGCAAAAAATAAGGTAAAGTGGACATTCGTGCGCGCAAGACGAAATCCTTCCAAAACCTTAGGTTTCGTAGCGATTTTAACATAAAAACATCAAAAACCCAATGGTTTTCTCAGAAAAAATTGTCAAAATGTCCTTCCGCGCGCTCTTGCGGATTCCTAGGAAACCCACCAGATTTTAAACATTTCTGTTAAAAGGGCCTTTGCGAGGAACCTTTTCAGGTGCTTCGACCTTCTGCAACAACGGTTGCGAGCCTACGAGGGCCACCATCCCTTGCAAAAAATGACACGAAGTGCACATGCGCGCGGCCGCCGCGCGCGCGTGCCGAAATCCTGCCAAACATAATGTGATTTCAATAATTTCAAGATGCGATGTTCCGAAAACATATGCAAACGCAAGACTTTCTCATCCGAAAAATATCAAAATCCACCCGCGGGCTCTTCATGAATCTTTAAAACCCAAGATGGCCCCAAGAGGCGCTCAAGATGGCCCCAAGAGGCGCCCATGAGGCCGCAAGAGGCGCCCAAGATGGTCCCAAGAGGCCCCAAGAGGACTCCAAGAGGCCCCCAAGAGGTTCCAAAGAGGCTCCAAGTTGGCTCCAAGAGGCCCCCAAGATGGCCCCAGGAGGCGTCCAAGCGGCTCCAAGAGTCCTCCGGGAGGATCCAATAAGCCCCCAAGAGGCCCCACTCTCTCTCTCTCTCTCTCTCTGTCTCTCTGTACTATGTATGTCATACGCAACAAATGCACCATGCGGGGCACATGCGGGGCCCAAACAAGTGATCAACCTCTGCGGGTGTGTACTCCACGCCAGTGTAGTATCCACGATCGTCCGCGCGCCACGAAGTGAAGTGTCCTGACGTCATAGGGCGGGAAGCTGGGTGTGGGTGGTTCCCGAGAGTCGTGTGGATGTTTGGTAGAGCTTGCATTGCCCCCCCACGAAGTGGGGGTATTGGCTGGCGTCGCATGAAAACCCTGGCACTGGGGAGAACACTGAGCGTTCGGGTAAAATGATTGTTGTTGTTGTTGTTGTTGTTGTTGTTGTTGTTGTTTTTGTTGTTGTTGTTGTTGCTTTTGTTGTTGATGGCGATGAGGTGCCACTTCCAGAGATTTTTTTTCATCCCACCTCCCTGGTGCCTTTTTTTGTTTGAAATTGTAGTGCCCCTCCCAGTGCTCGCACCTTGTTTTGTACAAGGGGAAATCTTGCGCGTCAGACTGTGTTGTTGGCCCCCAGCTTACAACGACAGCGGCTCCCGCCTGATACTTCTCCCCAATTTACCGCGCTCTCGTGCGGGACGTCTTCACAATTTCAGGAATCGCACTGTCGCTCGAGACTTTGTGCGATTCATGAAGGACTGACGCTTCAGCGACCCGCCCGCTCGACCCGACCGTCTGGGCCCGCCCGCCCGACCGGTCCGTTAGGGTCCGCCCGCCCGACCCACCCGTGTGGTTCCTTCGCTTGATTTCCTGCTCTTAACCCCCCTCCTGCTAATCTCTCTCGTGCTCCATCCTTCCCCCTCCCCTGTGTCTCTTCATTCGTCCCTCCTTTTCGTGTTTAGGGGCTGTGCCATTTACACGTGACAGGTATGGAAGACATGCCCCTACGAGTGGGATGAAGAGAACGGGTATCGAGGGTTCGGGATTAACAGTCTGAGTGGCACGGGGGCAGGTTACAGCGAATAATCTTACCATTTTTCATTGGTATCAGTCGTATATTTCTTATTGTTGTTATATGATGATGATGACAAGCATGAGGATGATCCTTATGATGACGATGGTGACGATCTTAATTTAATGATTATGCTGATGCTGACGCTTATTATGAAGAGGATGATGATGCTGATGAGGATGGTGATATGGGTGCGGATTCGGACATCTGATGATGACTATTGTGTTGATGATGACGGTGATGACGATACTTGTGATGCTGATGCTAATGAGGCCGATGATGATGTGGATGCTGATGCTGACGATGATGATGATGATGATGATGTCAATATAGTTGATGATGATGATGATGATTTCGATAATGTTCCTCATGATGAGGATGCTGATGATACTGCGAATGTGGATGGTCGTAATGATGACTAGGATGATGACACGGATGTTCATGATGATACTGACAATTATGCTGTTGTTCCTGATGGCTACGATTGGATGATGCGGGTGATGATGAGTATGATGCTGACGATGCTGATGATGACGACGGAGATCTTGATGATATTGCTGCTGATGATGACGATGCTGTTGGTAATGCTTCTGCTGTTGATGATGTTGATTCTTACGATGCTGATGCTGATGCTGATGCTGATGCTGAGGTTGATGATCATGATAACGATGCTGATGATGCCGATCATGATGCAGATGCTGATGCTGATGATGATGATCATGCTGACGACGATGCTGATTATGATAATGATGCTTATGATGATGATGCTGTTGCTGATGATGATGATTATTCTTAGTATCACATAACTGATGGTGATGATGGTGAAGCTGCTGATGATGATGCTTCTGATGATGATGATGATGATGCTGATGCTGATGATGATGATGACGATGATGATGATGATGCTGATGATGATGATGACGATGCGGATGACCATGGTGATCGTGACGACGATGATGACGAGGATAGATAATGATGCTGGTAATGATGATGATGCTGCTGAGGATGATGATTTTGACGAGCTGCGATTGTTTTTGGTGGCGACACTGCTGCTGATGCTGCTGTTGGTAATGATGATGAACATGATGAATATGGTGATGGTGATGTTGTGATTGTGGTTGATGACGATGCTGATGCTGCTGATGCTGCTGCTGATGATGATGGTGATGCACGATGCCTGGAGCTTTTCAGTGACTGTGGCTGTGTCGTGAAAGACCCAAAAAGCACGAGGCTTGACGCCTCTGCTCAGAGGGGAATTCGTTTCACGCCAGGGGAAAAGGATCCGCTGTCTTCATTGGTGCTGACGTGGAAAAGCGTGGCGATAGGATTCGTGTCTCATTTGTGTCGTCGGACCTTGGCTGGGCTCTGGTGTTCGGATGGGCCCCGCGAGCCACTTCCACGCTTGCGTGCACCAGGGCCGAGCGAAGGATGGGCTAGAGCGCGCCCTGGTTTTGCCTCGAAGGTCAGTGGCCTTCTGCTCGACGCGGTGGGCCAAATCTGCGGCCGACATCTCCCCCGCGCCAAACTCGGGCAACAACAGCATCATCATACTCATCATAATCATCATAAGTATCGTCATCATCACTACCACCATCGCCACCACCATCATTCTCATCATCGACATTCTCATCAGCACCAGCATCAACATCATCGTCGCCACTGTCGTGATCGTCATTATTCTCATCAGCATCAGCATCATCACCATCATCATCACCATCATCACCGCCATCATCATCATCTATCATTATACTCGTCACCATCATCACCAGCATCATCATTGTCATTCTGATCGTCATCAACCTGGTAGTCGTCATCACCACCATTACCACCACCACCGTCACCATCAGCATCATCATCATCATCACCACCACCATCGTCACCGTCACCATCAGCATCATCATGATCATCATCACCAGCAGCATCATCATCAGCGTCAGCATCACTATCAGCATTATTACTACAGTCGTCGTCGTCGTCAACATCACCACCACCATCATCCTCACCATCATCATCATTATCATCATCATCAGCATCATCATCATCATTACCATCATCATCATCATCACCATCATCATCGACACCATCATCATCACCATCATCATCAGCTTCACCATCATCACTTTCATCATCACTATCATTATCACCAGCATCACCATTGGCACCATGATCATATACATCAGCATCACCATCACCATCATCATCATCATCATTATTATTATTACTATTATTATTATTACTATTACTATCATCATCATAATCATCGCCATCGTCATCGTCATCGTCATAGTCATCGTCATCATCATCAGCGTCATCGTCAGTGTCATCATCATCATCATCATCATCATCATCATCATCATCATCATCATCATCATCATCATCTTCATCATCATCATCATCATCATCATCATCATCATCATCATCATCATCATCATCATCAGCACCATCATCTGCCTCACAGGGTTGGTGGGATTCGCACCAGTTGCTAGGATCTTGGCACTGACCTGAAAGTGACACCGTTCTCGATTTCTCTTGGCCATGGGACGTGTAGGGTTGACCCCCAGTCGCGTGTCCTTGCTGCTTGCAGCCGCGTCCCGGCGGCTTCTGGCAGCAGGTGAGCGTGTGACGGGCAGCGTACAGCTCACTCGCCTCGCCGTGCCCGTCCCCAGCCGGTCGCCGGAATCGCAGGCTCGTGGCGAGGAGGTGGAGCGCAAGGAGCCGCGTTCCATCGACAAGATGCGCGAGCCAGACGAGACCATCGTCCCTCCAGACGACAGCGAGGTGGAGGAGCGCCGCCACCTGTGGCCTCGCTCGCCCTGCGCGGCGGGCCGCGGCCGGCTGCGTGCCCTCGAGGCCTCTCTGGGCAGCCCCCCCGCCGCAGGTCCTCCTTCCTCCTCCTCCTCCTCCTCCTCCCTCCCTCCTCCCTCCTCCCTTCTCCCTCCGATCCAGAGCGAGGTGGAGGCGCCCCCCTCCACCTCCCTCCGGATGATTCGAGGGTGAGTCGCGTCGGTTTGCTTGTGCAAGAGGCGTGTCAAGCTCCTGCCGGAGCGCTCTTCAGCCACCTGTCTGCGGCAGCATGCTCGCCACGGGATGGCGGCAACAAGCTCACCGGAGGCACAGTTTTTGGGGCACTGAGCTCGCTGAAGGCAGTTATGTTTGGCGGCAACGGGGCACACATTTTTGCCTTCAGTGAGCTCATTGCCGCCTCCTCCCTGCGTGTTGTTCGCAGGTCATGTCGTTGGCCGTTTGGTCTTCGGGGGACATTTTGGGTCGCGGTTCACTGCATGAGTTTGTCCATCGCAGGTCGGTTCGCTTGGGGCTGATTCGCACAGAGGTTGAGGCCGAGTTGTGTGAAGTTCTGTGGTCTCTCCATTCTCCTCCTCAAATCATCCCAGCAAAGCATCCTAATCGCAGCAAGGGTGACCACGCGGGTCGAGAAGTAGGAGGTCGGCCAGTGGAAAATTGCATTCCTGGGGAAGATGCAGCCGGCACAGGGGTGAGAGCATGGCCATGTGTATCCTTGTATGTTTTTCAGGAGGGACTGTGGCCTAAATGTGGCCGATATTGAGGCGAAATCGCGATTCCTGAAAACATTGAAACCATGTGTGCCTTGGTGCATTTTTTACAAGGGGTCGCCGCCGTCTGGACCAGGCTTGTAGCCAGCACTGAATCGAGAGCACGATTCCTGAGCTCACCGAGCGCGCTCCACGACTCCCAAAGTGCCTGCTCGCAGACGCCCGAAAAATACATAGTTGTCTCGACGTAGTGGATCGTGCATCCCCACGCGGCGGATCCAGGCCATTTGCGAGTAGCTGCTGTGCGAGTGCAGTGGAAACCCATGCCAAGAAACAGCCTGCTTGCCTCCAGGCTGCCCTGGGTTTCTTGAGTTTCGATGGTTTTGCAATAGCAAGCGTGACGTTCCGACACCATCAAACCAATGGACGTTGGGTTTCTTGTGGAAGGTTCTTGAGGTCGAGCCCCTACTGAAGTGGAGCGCGCTTGTCTATGAGTGAATTGTGAGGCGTCTCGGGCGACACCTCCCTGGCGCGCGGAGCGCGCCAGGGGCGGCGCCAGAGGCGCCGCCAGGGGGTCCAGCGCACCTCCGAGTTTTTATATTTATGTCATTCTTCGTTCCCCTAGAAACGCTATCAGGGAAGAATACGCAATCGCCCCCCCCCCCCCCCCCCCTCCCCCGCCACCACCCTAGTCGACTTGACGTGAGAGTGACCTTTCGCCACGGTGACCGTTTGTGCGGGCCCACTGGGGTCCCCCGATCGCTGAACGGGAAGCGGCCGCAGGGGCTCACGCGCCCTGGTTTGGCCACCCCCGCGTCCCCTCCGTTCAGCCGCGCACCAGAGGTCACCCTTGGCCGACCCAGGGCGGGGCGGACCTGGAGGAGGAGGCCCCCGATTCGGCGCGCGGGGCGGCGGCAGAGAGCAGCGGCTCGTGCCAGAGTGCGGTCCTGACGTCTGTTGATGGGCCTGTTTTCCACCACCACCACCACCACCATAAGTTGGAGGGGGAGGGGGTCCTCCTCCTCCTCCTCCTCCAACTCATGGTGGTGGTGGTGGTGGTGGAAAACAGGCCCATCATCGGACCATCATCTGTGGGCAGCCCGCCCGTGCCCTCGCGCGCCGTGTCGTCAGAGGCCGTGCTCTCGACCCGGAGGGCAATGCACGCTCAGGGCAGAGGCGCTCGCGGTCGGACCTCCAGCGCAGTGCCGGGGTGCTCTCGTGGGGGCAGCGCAGGCAGCCTGCACGGTGCCCGCGCTCCTTGGCCCCGGAGTGCCGACGCTGGTGTCCTGTCTGGACCCGCAGGGCAGCACATACACTCGACCAGGATAGTAAGGATGCGCGGTAAGGATGCAGGGGCCTTGGCACGCCATGTTGACGTTTTCCGTGCGGAGCGCAGCAGAATGCCGAAGGATGCCGAATACCGAAGGGGCAAGGATGCAAGGGCAGCCTTGGAAAGTCGCCCAATCCTTCTTGTCATGGTTGACTGTAACATGAGCCACTCTCGGAGCGACTCTTTTTTTGTTTTTTGTTTTTTGGGGGGGTTTGGGACGGGAGTGCTGCTGCCCCTTCATGGAGGTCCCGCCAAGCTGCGGCAGGGTACGTGACCACTTTACTATTTACAAGGTTTGTGCCCCTCCTACCCCTCTGGGGGGGGGGCCCGCCGGACCGCGGCAAGGCATCGGAGTCCATCTGAACGTTATGGGCCGTCCTTGTTTGTTGCTGCTGTTGGATCCCGTTGATCCTGCAAGCCCCTTCGCATCCTTAGGTGGGGAACTCGGGTAGCTTTGGTTTTGTTTTTTTTGAGGGGGGGTGGGTGGGTGGCGCGTCGCGCCGCCCCAAAGAGGAGGAGGAGGGGGAGCAGGAGGAGGAGGATTCCCAAACTACGCTGCGCCTATCTCAGACAGAGCCCCAGTGCTCTACTAACCAAAGCACTACTGCCGACGCAATGCGCACGACTTCCAGGTAGATCGACATCCTTCGCAGCACATACAGCCACGCTTGCAATGACCTACAACCAAAAGACACATTCAATACACTATGATGTTGCATAGACCTCACAGCAGCTTTTCACACTGTAGTGAGAGAGGCAGTCTTTGGACACGAACCACAAACTGACCACGCCAAGTACTACCATAACTATGAGTTTCCACCAGCATCGGTACCACTAGCACGAGTTCTACTCAACTAGCCAGGCATGCTAGCACACGCGACTGCGACAGACGCCCTGCTGCACAAGTCATAGAGCCCTTCAGCCTCGCACTTCACATGTAAGCACTCCCAACTGACAGCACACCCGACAAAAGGCACGAGGCCAGGCAACAGCTTAGCAGACGCAATCTACAACCACTCCTTCGCGAGACCCCTCAACGACCTAGCAGACAACATGACAGGTAAGCCATACGCGATCCAACTGCCAAGACCAGCACAACCTTTATGTTCAGCATACCAGGCTACGGACACGACCCAAGACGACTTCACCAATAGCATAGCACTCGTCGACGACGCGCTCGTGACGGCACGGTGCAGCGACAACGACCTCCTGAAGCACTGCATGACGGGGATAGCCACTACTACGCACACCGTCCTAACCAGCTGCGGCTTCAAGCCCAACTGCAAGCCACGCACGCCAGCATTTACAACACCCTTAGCGGGCCAGGACACGCACCAGGCCAAGCAAAGCCTGCTCCCGATAGCGCTCGGCTCCCCTTGCGCGCCCACGTCTCGGTTGCCTCCGAGCCGCTCAGGTGCCCAGCCGGCTGGTGACGCAGCAGCACGCCCACCGCACACCGCACCGGCGAGAGAGGCGACGCGGCCGACTCCGCGAGCGCGGCCCCCCTCTCGCTCGGGCGCGCGCGCCCCGTGCCTGCCTGCAGCTCGCCTGGCTGCGTGAGGGGAGCCGGGCCCCCTGACCGAGCCAGAGCTCCACCACCGCTTGCCCCCCCCCTCCTCCCCGAGCTGCTCTTTGTCCACCTCCACCCCTCCCGCTGGCCCCCTGCTCTTCATCATACATACCGTCGGGGCGCTGAAGAAGGAACCCTTTTCGTTGGGGAGGGGCTCGGTGTTCCTCGATTGCTTCACAGTTTGCCTTGGGTTTTCCTGAGGTTTCCCATGAGGAATCGAAGTTTAACTTCTGAGAAAAAGGGACCTCGTTCCTTATTTGGGGTTCCTTAGGTCAACGCCCCGACTGTAGCAGGTGGGCGACTGTTCCTCGCGGAGAGGACTTCGATGAGGGCGTGGAGCTCAGCAAAAACCCACCCTTCCCGGGCTCCTGACCGCCTGGAAGCAAGCCTTTCGCCCGCATCCACCCGCGCGCACCCCCACCCCCCTCCCCCCGCCCCCACCACCACCCGTACCCGTCCCGACCAAATAGCCGGCCAGCCAGCAACCCTCCTCTTCCGACCCCCGTCCCACGCCCACGCCCTCACCCGCGCCCGCATCCGCTTTTCGGCGTCGCGGCCCCCCGCGCGCAGCGGCAAGGGCGGAGAGAAGTCAGAGACGCGGGCGCGGCGCCCGCAAGCGCGTCCACGCCCGCACCGCCCGCTTCACAGCCTGCCTTCTGCCTCATCTGGCCTCGCCCTACCCTGATTCCAGCAACCCTCCCAGGCGCCCCCCGTCTGATCTCGAGCTGTGTCCATCCACCAACTACACCATTGCCGCCTTCGCCACGGCACGTCACACATGCCGTGTGCGGACGCACACAGAAGAGTGTATGCAAGTGCCCCTGTTCGGTGCCTTGTGCCCTGTACCCCTCCCTGCAGTTACACCCCGTAGGTGGAGTCCAATGTCCCGTGTGTGCCGCAGCATGAAGTCAACCCGCACAGTAAGGATGGGCAGCCTTCCCAAGGGTACCCCTTGCATCCTTGCCTCCTCGGTCCATCCTTGGCGACTTTCGTTGGCCACGCCCCGCTCGAAACGCTCCCACATGGGCGCCCGAGGCCCTTGCATCCTTATCGCACGTCTTTACTATACGGGTTGACTTCAGGAGGAGAAAAGACACACAGACACAATTGATCGTCGACTCCCCCGAAAATATGCGAACATATGTGCAGTGGGGGGGAAGGCAGAAAAACCCGGAAAATATGGACAAATGTGGGGGATCCTTTGATTTGTGTGTGTGTATTTCTTTGTGTGTCCCGGGGCCCCTTCACATACGGGTTGATTGTATGTTCAGCGAGTGCACAGCACGCTGGCTGCTTCTCCTCGTGGCCAGACCGCGTGGGCCCCCGGGCGTGCCGCAGGATCGGCTGGCGCACGTGGAGAGGCCGCGGTAGCCCACGCTGGCCTGTGCACGCGGTGCAGTCGCACGCTCGCGGCGAGAGGCCTCCTGGCTGTCCTCGCCCTCCTCGGGGCCGGAAAAGAGGGGGGTGATGACTAGGGGGGGGGGGTGGATATCATGGCGTGGGCCATGATATCTCCCCAGATTTCGCGGCGCCTCTTCTTATTCTATTACGTCTCTGGCTCCCCCGCTGGGTCGCGCACATGCCGCTGGTCATGATTTGCACCCCCCCCTCTTGGACACCCCCCTCTTGGCCGCTCCCGACCTCCGGGGGCCGCCACCGGGCCTCAGGACCTATCAAGAGCAGCTCGGGATGAGAAGCCAGCCCCTGATCGGAAACTGGAACGTATACATGACCAGTGGCGGGCTGTCTCTTGAGTCCCAGGACTTTTTTTGAGCGTCGGGGACGACGGTGGGGTGGTGTGGTGTATATTTTTTTCGTTTCCCTACCTGAGAGGAGTCTGGAGCTCCGGGGCGGGGGGGAGGGGGCAAGTTGCAAGAACATCGCGACGTCGGAGACCTGGGTCCTCTCCCTGGCTTGGTGCGGCCGCTCCTCCTCCCCTCCCTCCCCGCCATCCTCCTCGCCGACCTCTTCTTTGCGTCACTATGCAGAGTGTGCGCAATCATGCTTCCCACGGGAGAGAAGGCTCTCGGCATGACGCTTCTGTCGTGCTGTGCTGTCACCGTGCGCTGTGCAGGACGATGAAGCGATGGATGAGTTCGAGAAGTATTTCTCGGGCGACCAGGTGCTGCAGCTTTGGTTTGCTCGACGGTCGTGTACCTGACATCTTTCGGCAGACTGTTGTACTTTGACGCCCACCCCAGCGAAATCATTGATTCGGATCCACCTTACCATAATGAACACGAGGGTGTCCTGGGACTGGCGTGAGGTACAGCACAGGTCTCGCACTATTCTTCTCACGAGCTCGCACGCCCCACACGGGGTTTGTTGTCGACGGCCGACACCAATGACGATCCGACGACCGAGGACGAGGAAGATGAAGACGATCGATAACGAGGACATATTGCAACGGACGACAATCCACTGACAAGCGACGACGCACGCAAAGCAACACCGACAGCGGGATGGCATGTTGCACCGCAATTCGTGCTCGCTACCAGTAGCCTTTCTCATTGCCTTTGGTTCAGTTCTTGCGTAGTCTGATCGAAGGTGTTCCGTATCTCCGATCTGATAGCAGTAGTGGGAACCCAGATGGAACAGCGACATGGTTTAGAAGGCGTGATCTCTCGACATGTATAAATTTTGAGTCGTGCCAATGTTGATTATTGGGCAGCCGGATTGTGTCTCCAGTTTGTCAGGGTGCTCGTTATCGAATTTTTCGCCCTTTCCCTTGTGTCGTCTATTTAACCACTGCCAGCCCCTCCTGTCCAGGTGCCGAAAATATTGTTAACGACCCAGGTGGCCCTGACGACGCGACAGTATCTCGATGGCAAGTCATGGCATGCACGCAGCGGCGTCCAGCATGTGCCTACGACATGTGACGCAATTTGACCAATCGTCTTTACTCAATTCTCGCACGTCATGCTTCCGTCACGCTGCTTGCACAATATGTCTCTCCCTCTCTCTGCCTTTTTTGTTTCTCTCGCTCTCTCTCTTTCTCTCTCTTTCCCTTCCCCTCTCTGTGTTTCTATGTCTGTCTACGTGCCTGTTTCCTTTCCGCATACGTGCGCACATCTCACTTGTACGAATCACACACATCTAGGTTTTGTTTGTTTGTAACCCAGTCAGTTTTTTGTAGATGTATAGTATACGTACATACACATGTATACATATATATATATACACACATATTTACCTATATATATGTGTATATTCGCCTATGTATACATTATCCCTGTCTTCCTCTCTCTCTCTCTCGCTCTCCCCTACTTCCGTAGGTATACATAATGGAGTTACGTGCCACACCTGTCAAGATGATCGTTTTCACATTTCACACTCGACTCCTCGTGCTCAGTTTTCGTATTCTTCGTATTCTCACCTCCCTTCCAGATCTTGGTCGTCTCCTCATCCGGCCCACCTCTCGTTGTCTCTCTTCCTTCCTGCCGTCAAACATCAGGGAGTCCATACTGTACCAAACAACAGTCACCCCTTGCAACAGGACGCATCAACCCATCTAGTCACAGGGTAATTAATGGTTAATTTTTTCCAGAAAAGGCGTGGGCCCAGGCTTCTCTTTCAGTTTTGTAAATTGTCCTCGTTCTGTAGGGCCGCCGAATTTCCGCTCGATAAAACACGAGGTACAGTCCAATTCGGCGTGAACAAATGCGTTTCGCGCGTGCCCGCTCGAGGAAAGACGACCCCCCACCTCGGATCCTCGATAAATAACGGGGTCCGCGGATCCCCGTTTTCTTCGATAAAAGAAGAAATGAAGTCGAATTCGGTGCGGAAAGTGCGTTTCGTGCGTGCCCGCTCGAGAAAAGTCGACCCCCCATCTCGGATCCTTGATAAATAACGGCGTCCGCGACACGGTAAAGTTCAACGCGGCGCGGAAAGCGTGGAAATGTTGAGTTTTTGCGTGCCCGCTCGAGGATGGTGCGCCCCCCGCGCCAAACAATCAAGGATGTCTCGAGCGAAACGCTTGTTTTGCAAAACTTGAGGGACCTGGGCGCCCCAGCATGCCCCAGGAGGCCCTGGGAGCGCGGACGAGAAGTAATCTACGAGGGATCGTGGCGTTGGGAGCGCGGACCACGCGTAATTTGCAATGGATCGTGGCCCTCGGAGCGCGGGCGCAGCGTAATTTACGAGGGGTCGGGGCCTTGGGAGCTCGGACGCAATGTAATTTAGAGGGATCGTAGCCCTTGGAGCGAGGGCGCAGCGTAAAATACGGGGGATCGGGGCCCTGGGGGCTCGGACGCAGCGTAAAATACGAGGGATCGTGGCCCTGGGAGCGCGGACGCCGCGTAATTTATGAGGGATCGTGGCCCTGGGACCGCGACCCCAGTGTAATTTACAAGGGATCGCGGCAGTGGGAGCGCGGACCTTGCGTAATTTGCAAAGGATCGTGGCCTTGTGAGCGCGGACGCAGCGTAAATTATTTGGGATCGTGGCCCTTGGAGTGCGGGCGCAGCGTAATTTACGAGGGGTCGGGGCCCTACGAGGGATCGGGGCCCTTGGAGCGCGGGCGCAGTGTGAATTGTTAAGGTTCGTGGCCTTAGTAATGCGGACGCAGCGTAATTTATGAGGGGTCGTGACAGCTGTAGCGGTGGCGCAGCGTGATTTTGGACTTCGTCTCGGTTGGTATTGCTTCGGTTCTTCCTGTCTCAGTTCGTCGTGTCTCGGTGTGCCGCGTTTCGGTCCGTTCTTGCTCGGTGCGTTCCGTCTTTCTTCAGATTCGCCCCCTCTCGGTTCGTCCCGTTTCGGAACTGAGTCGGAACTTGAGCTCGGCAGCACGGCACAACGCGGCGCAGGACATCGCGCATTGTTGGCACGTCTATTTCGTGGGATGGTTCGTGGGATGTTTCGTGGAGTGTTTCGTTGGGTGTTTCGTGGGGTGTTTCGTTTGGTGATTCGTGGGGTGTTTCGTGGCTGTTCGTTGGGTGTTTCGTCAAGTGTTTCCTAGCGTGCTTCGTTGAGTGTTTCTTGGGGTGTGTCGCGGGGTGCTTTGTAGGGCGTTTCGTGGGCTGTTTCGCGTTTCGTTTCGTCCAGCATTTCGCAGCACGGCACAGCGCAGCGCAGCTTCTGGCACGGTGCCATCACCATCGATCTATTCATCATTGCTACTGCCCATCGCCCAATCCAGGTGTCTCGAAACGTTTCCATGCTTCACATGTCTATATCCCTTTCCGGGTTCGTGGGTCCAGCATGTTTAGTGTATATGGTGGAACACGCACGTAACCCGAGCCAGCAGTCAACGTATACACCCGAGCGCGACTGTGCATTTTCCGCGGAAGGCGGCCAGAGGAGTTGCCTACCGCAGGAAGCAAACACAGCACGCCGTCCTGGGCGTTTTGAGCTCCTGGGCTCTGCGCGCGGCACGGGAGGGGCGGCAGGCGGCAGGAGCGGGAGCGCGGGAGCGAAGCTGGCAGTGAAGACGAGGAACAGCCTTTGACAAGAAAGCAGAAACATGCCCAAACATGAAGATACATAACGATGGGCCCAAAAACGCGGAACACCGGTAGCGTTTTCAGTTCAAAGCGTTTGTAGCGTGCAACACGGCAGATAGAGCGCCCAGGGCGTTTTCAAGAAGGGTTGAGCCGAGAAGATGTGCGCGAGGTGGTACAGGCGCCTCCCGCCCAGATCAGCCCAGGCAGCTCGAATTTGTTGAGCCCGCAGAGCGGAAGTCACAGCGGGGCCCCAGGGGGAAGCTGGCATGCGGATTTTGCTGCGATTATTGGGTGTTCGGGATGCGTTGCAATGTTTCTTTGGGGCGTATTCGTACCCCTTGGGGATTTAGGCGGTCTTGGAGGCCAGCTAAGGGCCTTTCGGGTTTCATGGGGCACGACGTGCGTGAGGGCTGCGCCGAATTGAGGCTCCAGGGAGTCGTCTCGGGGGCCATTTGAGCGCCCAATATTCAAGAAATGCGTGAGGGGTGTGCCGAATTGAGGTTCCCATCAAAATGCAAGGGCACCCCGTCCGTGTCGAAGACGCCTACGGAGACTCACCGCCGCCGCTGGCCTTTCGGATACGCCCATGTGGCCAGACGTTTGGGCAAAGTTTGGGCCATGCTATTGGACCATCTGCTCCCCCAGCCGTTGTGGAAGCCCTTCTGGGACCTTGGGGAAGGAAGAGACGGATGAGGAGAGGGAGGTCGAAGGAGGAGGATGAGGAGGAGAATGATGAGGCGGCCTCTTGGGAGCCACTTGGGGCACTCTTGGGGCCTCCTTGGAGCTTCCTGGGGGCCTCTTGGAGGCCTCTTGGGGGCCTCTGGGGGCTTCTTGGGGGCTTCTCGGGGGCCTCCTGACGTCGTCGGAAGCCGCCCCGGGGGCCTCTCTGGACCGTCTTGGGGCCCTCTTGCAGCGCGTCAGGGCCGTCTCGGAGGCCATCGTTGGCGTCTTGGAGGCCTCTGGGGCCGTTGTCCGGCCCTCCTGGGACCGTCTTGGAGGGGCCGTCATGGGGCCATCTTGGAGGCCTCTTGGGCAATCATATTGCGATCTTAGGGGTCTCTTGGGCCGTCGCGGGCCGTCGGAAAACCGCCAGAAAGCAAATGCCAAGATCCTTCAAACACCTGAAGAGAATTCATGCTTTCTGCCTCTTCGGGCCTTCTTGGAGGCCCTCTTGGAGACCTCTTGGGCCGTCTTGGAGGCCTCTTTTGGGGGCCTTTCGGGTCGTCTTGGGCCATCTTGTAGACATCTTGGGCCGTCTTGGTGGCTTCTTGGGCGGACTTGGAGGCATCGTGGACCCTCTTGGGCCGTCTTGGGTTCCATCTTGGACCATCTTGGGCGAACTTGGAGACCATCTTGGGCCGTCTTGGCCGTCTCGAAGGGGATTGGCCGTCTTGGAAGACCGAACAGAAGCAAAGGGCAAAGTCCTTCAGAATCCTAGTCGCATCACGGATTTTGGCATCTTCGGGCCCTCCTGGAGGACCTCTTGAAGGCCTCTTGGGGGCCTCTTGGAGGCCTCTTGGGGGCCTCTTGGAGGCCATCTTCGGGGTCTCTCGGGCCGTCTTGGGCCATCTTGGAGGCTTCTTGGGAAGACTTGCGTGTATCTTTGACCCTCTTGGGCCGTCTAGGAGGCGATTTTGGCGGTCTTGGAGGGAGGTGCTCAGCACGTGATTGTTGCGACCGTCTGTTGGCACTTCTGCTCAAATGTTGAGGCATGCGCAGCTCGACTGCCCTGTCTGTCGGCGGATGACGGGAAGCGTCTTCGTGGTACGAGAAGCGAGCTGGACGTTGTGGCTGAATCTGCAACATATCCACTTACCTCTTACTATTAGAGGGTGGCGGGGTGCACGCCGCTATTCGTTAGGGGATCCCCACAACAGCGATTTCGCTTCAGACATCCTCACGCCACTAAGATGACGGGAAGCGTCTTCGAGGTACGAGAAGCGAACGGGACGTATTGGCTGATTCTGCAACGTATGTAATGATCTCTTACTAATAGTTAAAAAGGTGGCGGGGTTCACAGAGCCATTCGTTAGTAGATCCCCCGACCATCGATTTCGCCTGAGACATCTTTATACAATTGAAATCTTCGCGACATCACGTTCAACAAACACGATCGTTTCGCTCGAGACATCCTCGAACAACTGACATCCGCGAAATTCATTAACCTGTAAAGAATTGCGTTTCGCCTGAGCCATCCTTGCCAAAACGAGGTGACGACGGGTGTGTATTACTACCTCTTATGTTGAACACTACGGTTGCGCTAGGGACGTCCTCAGAAAATGAGCGGCAGCACGGCGGACCAAAAAACCGATCACGGCAGAACATTTGCATTTTGTCGGGTGCATCCTCAAAATA